CGGAACCATACGGGGGTGGGGGTGGAAACCAGAGATGGAGAATTGTGGCATCAACAAGTCATCTCCATGCTTTTCTTCTGCTCTGCAACTGAACGAGGTGATTTCAATCAGCACAGTGAATGAACCTGGTTCTGTTGCTGAGCAGAACAAAAACACGACATGGAGATGACTTGTTGATGCCACAATTCCCATCTCTGGTGGGAGCCCCACTCATGCATAGAGATTGTGTCATTAAAAGTGATTCAAACCCACTTTTGTAATAAAAGCCTGACACGAAGCGTCCAAAACGTTTTTTCCAGTTCAGGGAAGGTATCGCGCGCTACCACCAACCAGAGGCAGGGAGGGAAATGCCTTTGGTAAGTGCTGCCACATGTTCTATTAACACACACACACACACACGCACGCACACGCACGCACGCACACACACACACGCACGCACACACGCACGCACGCACACACGCACACACACACCAGCTAAAGGAGCTGTAATCTGATCCAGCCTGCTTCAGAAGAATGTCTCGCCAGGCAGACAAGAATGTGGGCAGATTTTCAGAGTGACTCTCATGTTTTATATGAATGAATTAAAATGAACCAGTTTAGGTTTTGAAAGTCGACACAAACGTGTTTCCTAGCTTGAACAAGTAAAAAGCTCCAGTAACGTCATTATGGGAAAACTGTAAAGCATTTTTAGGAAAGCTGATGAGTCTTTTTTCATTTATCTTTGGAAGTACCTTCCTGCCGGTTGCTGACCCTCTTACAGGGCAGGTACACAGGGCAGGTACGTGGCACGCTGCAAGCTCAAAACTCATCACTGTTACTCCGTATTATTACAGATCTAACAGATACCAAACAGCTGTCTGCAGCACAAATATCCAGCAGTGATGAATGAAAGTGAACCTCAAATTTCTTCACCTAACACCCCAAAAGTTTGACATGTTTGCTAATTTATTAAAAATCAAAAACACCTGAGAAATAAGAATATTCCTAACTAGAGGTCTTCAGACGACGGTGGCACAGGAGTTAAGTGCCCGCCCTGTAATCGGAAGGTTGCAGGTTCGAGCCCCGCTCAGTCTGTCGCTGTCGTTGTGTCCTTGGGCAAGACACTTAACCCACGTTGCCTGCTGGTGGTGGTCGGAGGGACTGGTGGCGCCAGTGCTCGGCAGCCTCACCTCTGTCAGTGCGCCCCAGGGCAGCTGTGGCTACATCATAGCTCATCCCCACCAGTGTGTGAATGTGTGTGTGAATGGGTGAATGACTGATTGTGTTGTAAAGTGCCTTGGGGGGTTCCAGGAATCTAGAAGGTGCTATATCAAATACAGGCCATTTACCGTATTTTCCGGAGTATAAGTCGCACCAGCCATAAAACGTATGATGAAGAAGAAAAAACACATATAAGTCGCATTTTGGGGGGAAATTTTATTATTTTTCTTACAAAATCTGAGACCAAGCATTTCACATTGCAAGACAAGTACCGGTAACAATAACGGAATAAACAACGCGGGCGCAGCAGCGCGCCACGGTCTCCAGCAGAGGATGGCGGCTTTTCAAACCCTCTCAGCGGGGAAGAGGAGCTGAAACCTGGAACGGAGCCGGCCCGCAGCAGCGCGGTATACATAATTTGGTATATAAGTCGCAGGACCAGCCAGACTATGAAAAAAAGTGCGACTTATGGTCCGGATAATATGCTACCATTTACCATTTACCGATAGATCGGTCTGCCCCTATTCCAAACCTTTGCTTAAAACCTTGTTGATGCACCTGCGGCAGCAGTTACAGCCTCAAGTATTTTTATTCTGATGCCAAAAGCTTGGATCTCTCCAGAGATGTTCAGTCAGATTCGAGTCCGGGCTGTGGCTGAGACTCAGTGACATTGGTAGAGTAGTCCTGAACACACTTCTTAGGGTTTGGGTTGTTGTCCTGCTGAAAGACGAGCCGTCGCCTCAGTCTGAGGTCAAAAGTACTCTGGAGCAGGTTTTCTTCCAGGATGTCCGTGCTGCATTCATCATTCCCTCTATCCTGACTGGTCTTCCAATTCCTGCTGCTAAAACCATCCCATAGCATGATGCTGCCACCACCATGCTTCACTGCAGGGATGTTGTTGGTCTGATGATAAGTGGTGCCAGGTTTCCACCAACATGATGCCTCGCATCCACATCAAAAGGTTGGGCCAGGCGGGCTGCCAAGTGTCTTGTTTAAAGTGGCTTCCGTCTGACAGCGCTACCATCCAGGCCTGGTTGGTACTAAGATTTCTCCAGAGTTTAAAAGTCAAAAGAACAGAAAAGTCTCCTCGTATGAAAAGTTAAATGACATCCAGCCATTTTGCTTCTCTTCTGAGTCGTTACCAGTTCAGACCGAAAAGCCCGGAGTAACAGGCTTTGATTCTGGTGGTTTACTCGTGTCTGTTGGAAAGCCAGAGGGTCTTTTTTCTGCGTGTATGGGCCTACCTGCAGCTATGTGCTGCATATGTTCCACGTTATATGTTGGCTGAGCCGGTTTCTGAGTCTGACCTGAGCTTTTATTATCATACCAGAGAAGTGATTTTGTCTTTGACACAGAGAAAGTCTGATTGACTTGGCATGAGGACACGCCCGGTCACAGACGCTTTAAGTTGCAGGCTTTTTTTGTCTGACTTGTTGAAATGTTTGAAATCTGGACGGTGAAATGTGGGCTGCTGCTGCTGCTGCCTCCTCCAGATGTTTCTCTCTGGATCTGACCTCCAGCTTTCAAAATGGCCGCTGGTGACCCCTTACCACGGGGCTGTTAAATTTAGTGCAGTTAAAACAAAAAAGAGGCCAAAGCTCGGGCCTTTCAGCAGGGCTTCCTGTCTGCCCCCCCACCATCCCTGGTCCAGAGTTCTTGGTAACTTCCTGTCTTTGTGGGCTTAGTCACACACTTCCAGCTGCAGCCAGAAGAGCTTGACTCAAGCTTAGTGCTGCTTGTGCTTCACCGAGTTTAAAACAAACAGACCTCCTCTCTGGTTTGCTGCTGAGAGACTTTTATCCAACTTCACAAACGGAAACGTCTCCATCTTTTGCCTCGTTTTCTGTTTCAGATCAGCCCTAAAGCCGCATTAAAGGGGAAACGTTCAACAATAACAGACCTCTGGAGTTGTCTTTCTTGGTGCCACAGAGCAAAAATGACCAGACCGGGCACTTTTATTTTTAGAAAGACTTTTGAGTGGAAACCTTCTAATTATAAAGATGTTAGGAGCTCCTTTGCGTCCTCTCGTTATTTTTGTGGGACTTCCATTTCAGCGTCTTGCGTGTTTTTGTCCTTAAGAGGAGAAAAGTTGCAGCGGATGTCGGCCGCAGATTTATTTTCATAGCTCAAAGTCGACCGTGTGAGAACAAACGCACGTGTCACCGTACGCTGTCAGAGCCGTGGGGGTAACCATGGCAACCCTCTGTAAACTGTCCTCCGAGGTGGAAGTGATGACACGGTGGCGTGTGATCGCTGAGGCATGAAGGTGTAGATCTGATCCCACAACGTGTGACTCAGATGTTTCGGAAACTGTTGAATTCACTAAAATCTGAACTGAAGGAAAACACGGCACAAGTTTAGTTTTATTTTGGTAACTCAGAACTATCAGCGATCACCAGCTGGCTAGAAGAAAACTTCCTTCAGTTAAACTCTGAAACGACAGAACGTCTGATCATCGCCCCTGAGAGCACGGTTCCCCTGATTAGTCTAAAACGTGGTCATTTATCTGCTGCCGTCAGTGTCTCCTGAAGGTCACTCACAAACGTTGGTCCTAAACGGTTTCTATCATTTAAGAAATATCTCCAAACTGAGAAGGTTGGTGTCCAAACATGAACCTGAAATGGTTCTCCATGCCTTTATCTCCTCCCGTCTAGATTACTGTAACACACTCTTCACATGTTCTAACAGAAAAGCCCTGGACCTCCTTCAGCTGCTCCAGAACTCTGCAGCGAGGCTCCTAACTGGAGCAAACAGAAGAGCACACATCACTCCTGTTCTGGTGTCTCTGCACTGGTTACCCGTTAACTTTAGAGTCCTGACTAGAACCTTCAGGGCTCTTCATGGTCAAGCTCCTCCCTATATTACTGACCTGTTAAAGCCTTATGCTCCAACCCGAGTCCTCAGGTCCACCCACCAGAACCTTCTAGAAGTTCCAGAGACCAGATATAAAAGTGGAGGTGATGCTCCTTCCAGACTGTTGCACCCCGACTCTGGAACGATCTTCCTTTATCCGTACGCAGCGCTGACGGTCTGGACACCTTTAAAAAACAGCTGAAGACCCTTTTATTTAAAGCTGCTTTTACCTAAATCTTAATTTTCTTATTTTTAACTCAAAATTTTCGTCTTTCATCTGTTTATGAAATTTTATAATTTTATGACTTTATTTTTTCTGATGTTAACATATTTCTGTTTTGAGATCATTATGATTTTATTTTGTTTTGATCTATGTGAAGCACTTTGTGGTTCTATGTTTGTGATAAGTGCTGTATGAGTAAAACTTACTTATTTACTTTTCAAGAATGAGGAAGAAGACGGTCCCGTGTGCCACGCTGATGCTGAAATACTATTAGTACTATTATAAATGTGCTTTTATTCTATACATCTCATCTATATTTCATTTGGTTTTTCATACATTTTCTCAAATGTCGTTTAAATGTTTTATTATTGTTCATTGAAAAAACTGTTTTATTGATGTGATTTTTATGTCTTTTGGGTTTTGTTCAGTTTCACTTTCGTGTTTTTCAGAATCTCATCTTTTGATCTTTTTATTCAAACGTATGTTTTGTATGCGTTACGTTTTTTAAAGTTCATGTTTTATTTCCTTTTATTCTTTATGCTTCATTCCTTAGAACTTTCTGGTTTTCTGTACTTTTTTATTTTTCACTTTATTATATTTTTAATCATTTGTTTTTGTTGTTTTAGAAAATTTGAACTTTTTTAAATTTAAAAGTTTTCTCTGTTATTTTACCTTTTATTCTTAACAACGAATGATCCTTAACTGTTGTTCCTTGGTCTGGCAGGTCTGTCCGAGGAAGATCCGGTTCAAACCCCTGCCTTCACCGACTCCGTGAGGCTTTACAGACAAGCTCAAGGGCACTACGGCACCTGGGACCTGATGTGTGGAGCTCCTCCTCAGGTGAGAATTATCAGTCATTCATAAAAAACATCAGAAAGCTGCAGCTCTCCGTAAGCATCTCTGCCACACCAACTCAGAGTGAACCTGGTGTTCTCTGTGCCTAACGGGTCACGCCCTGATTAAAGGATCCACGCGACGCGGCTCAGGCGACGTCTTCAGGTGAAACAGCAGGGAAGGTTTTCAAGAACCAATCAGAAAAGGAGCAGAAAACAGAAGTTTTCTCTGTATGTGTAGCTCTTGTAAACACACACACGCGCGCATGCACACACGCACGCACACACACACACACATGAATGAGTGTGCTATGAATCTTCGGATCCCATCTTCCATAAACAACCAGGGTCAAACACAACTCTGGATCTCCGCTCCTTTCATTCTCTGCCAAAGCTTTTTTCTTCATGTTGTTTATCAGTTTGTTTTCCTGCAAACGTTGTTCCCAGCTGTTTATCTGTAGTTCCCTAACAAAAGCTCACCCACCCCCACAACACAAACAATCCACGGACGTCCCAGCGTTAATGACTCTGAGAAAATGTTCCAGTGCATTTCAGATAAAGACGGGATGAAGTGGCCTGTAGTTTATTTATTTACTGAAAGCCTCCAGATGGAGCATCAGGATTAGTACCTTCATCAGAAACCTGCCATTTCCAGTCCGACATGTATGCTGCCCCCTGGTGGGCATACATAATAAAATAGGAGATTATTTAGCAGTTGAGCCAATACCTTTTAAAATATATATTAATTATTTCAGGCTTTTAAAGGACATTATTTTAATTTGAAGGTCAACTTTATTTTTAATACATTTGCAGGAACGAATCCATGTTAGTCGTACTCTGGGGAAGAAAAGCTCCAGTGTCTCTCCTCTGATTGGCTAACTGCAACGTTGATGTTTTATCTCCACAAATAACTCAAGTCTTGAGGAGTTCTGCAGTGTGGTAGAGTTTCTTATGCTAGTTGTTAGCTGCTACTATCGAGATGTTCTCTGTTGTTTCCTGGACGCTAAACCAACAACAGCCTTCTCCGTCGAATGTTAATCTACCATGTGACGTAGATCTGTCAGGATTTTCTAATCCCAGAGTTTCACCGTCTGTTTTCTATCAGAAGCTACTGCAGGAGATAGATGTAGGAGACTATCTTCATGTTCAGTCTGCATGGAACATTCAAGGGACTGATCAATTAAAAAAATAAGTAAAAAATGGTTTCTCAGTGAACCTGCTCTTTAATAAAGCTAAACCGCAAAACTAATAAATAATGAAAAATAAGTTCTTTAGAAAATAAGTATTTATTTCTTTATTTACCTTTTATGGAAAACCCACCTTTTGCCATGTTGGTCTCCACTGCCTACAAAAACTAGAGTGTCAGCGTGTGTTTTAGGATTAATGTGCCTAAAACAAGCCGTTTCAAAAGTCCTCGTTAGTGATGTCACAAACGGAGAACACAGTGTATAAAACGACCTTTCACCTGTAGGACAGTTGTAGCTGCAGCAGCAGCAGCTCTACATTGACCCCCTTGTGGATATCCAAATTTCTAAACTTATTGCAGCCAGTCGGCATCTGTGGGCGTGGCCAGTTTCAGCTTACTTTCTAACACAGGTCATTCTAAAGTACTGAAAAATGGTCGAGAATGAAACCACTAAATTAGCTTCGTGTGAGAGGAATCTAGTGCAAAGAACGTTATAAACAGGTTTTACAGAACTATTATAGAAAAATGCCATCACATGTCTCCTTTAAGGTTTTTTGTCTTTTAACAAAAATCAAGTTTAGGCCTCAAATCGAGTATTCAACAATAGTTGTGTCTTGTTTTCTAAAGCAAAGTTCCAGTGAAATGTCCTTTGGGATTTAGTTTCTCTCCAGATATTTCCCGTTAAGGAAACTCTTCAAATTCCTCCTTAAAAGTTTCCTACTGGGATCAAAACGGAACAAAGTGTCTGGTTTAAAAACGTGCTCGGCGTTTCTTGACGAAGCTTTAATTGGGCGACTAATTTTTATTGGCGCCGTTGTTGTTGCCGCTGCTCTTTACAAAGAATCTAAATCAAGATCTGAGAGCATGAATGTATGAGTGGCAACATCCCATAATAATCCTGTGTTTTGAATATGAGCGTAAACAGATAACTGTGAGAATTCCTTCAGGGCAAAAGGTGAGGTAAAGGCAAACATGCAGGAACATATCTTTGAACTTGCAGACACCCGAGGCGTTCATTCAGGTCTCCGTCTGCTGCAGCTGTGGAGCTTCTCAGTGTTCAGTTTAATCCTGAACTTATTCTGGTTGTGTAGGAAACACCCAGATTAATAATCTGTCCTTCTATTGTCCTACTAGTCTTAAATGTAGACACAGTTTAACTGATAGAAAGCATTTTTTCCCTTAACTAGCAGAAAACCTGGTGTCCTCTTGGGGTTCAGTCTATCTCAAATAGGCAGATGTTTGAATAAAAAGTTAAGCATCGTTTATTACTTTATTATTAATAATTCACTATAGATTATTACCATTTTGTACCAAATTAATTAGCAAAACATTAAAAATGTTCATTTACGGTTTAGTGGAGAATAAAACTTCCTGGATGTGTTTTATGCACCTTACTGGATCAATGACGAGATAAGATAAGACTTATTGATCCCACAGCGGGGAGATGTTTGCGTTACCAACGCTCCGACAGATAGCAAAGGAGTACAAAAGTGACCAAGAATGCAAAAATAAAAGCACACGAGATCATGGTCATTTAAATACATTTCATTAGGCAATTACTTATGCAGATCTGCAAACGTTTACGTTTTAAATTCGGTCCGGTTCTAAATGTCCGTCGGCTGACACGAGAATTCAAACTCTGAATTTTTCTAATATTGAGCTAAAATTTGGTCCAAGAGTTTTTTAAACCAACAGATCAGAAAAGGCCATTATAAGATTGTCACAATGAGGCCATAGTGGCAGTAGCTCAACAGGTTGAGCGGGTTGTCCAGTAATCAGGAGGTTGCAGGTTCGATCCCGGCTCTGGACAGAGAATTCTGCTGTTGTGTCCTTGGGCAAGACACTTAACCCACTTTGCCTGCTGGTGGTGGTCGGAGGGACCGGTGGTGCCTGTGCTCGGCAGCCTCGCCTCTGTCGGTGCGCCCCAGGGCAGCTGTGGCTACATCGTAGCTCATCCCCATCAGTGTGTGAATGGGTGAATGATACACTGTAGTTCCATCTTTTAGTACTTTTTAAAACACAGAAATGGTTTTTTTTTAACCTTGCTGATGTTTCGTTTGCTGACTGTAAAACATCATCAGGCTGACGCTGATGGTGGCGTCACTTCCTACTGCGTTTATCCGCGGGCAGCAGAGGACGTTGTCGCCCTCTACTGCCCGCTCTCCCCTCTCCGACGATGCAGTCCCATGCGCGGTCCAACGAGTAAACTCCGTCGTCTCTGTTCATGGTCCCACATCCACATCTCCTTGTCTCGATAGCTTCTTTTATCCATCTTTTGTATTTCTGTTGTTCGGTGTTTATGATCCTTGTGTTGTCCCAGTCCATTACATGGTTTTCTCTTGTGCAGTGATCTGTTACGGATGACTTCTTTATTGTGCTTTCTGCTTCTTCTTTTGCTGCTCTTGTGTGTTTTCGATTTGCCTCTTTCTCACACTCCTTTCTATGTTCTATTGTTCGTGTGTTGAGTTGGCGTCCGGTTTCTCCTACGTATGTTTTATTGCAGAGTTTGCATGGGATTTCGTAAACGACTCCACATTTTTGTCCAGCTGATATTTTGTCTTTTGGGTGTACTAATCTGTTTCTAACTGTTGTGTATGGTTTTGTTTGTGTGTTTATGTTGTGTTTTTTCATTGTTGCTCTTATTTTTTCTGTTATGCCTCTGTTATGTTGCAGGTAAATAAACCTTTTCTGTGTTTTAAAAAGTACTAAAAGATGGAATTTGAAACTAAACACAGCAAGGACACACCAAAGATGCACTGTAGTGTAAAGCGCTTTGGAGTCCTTACTCTGAGAGGCGCTATACATTCATTTATCATAACTCCATGTATCTGTATGTATTCACACACACACACACACACACACACACACACACACACACACACACACACACACACACACACACACACACACACACACACACACACACACCTATGTAGATAAAACTTGGTGTGTCACAGGGGTCTGTTGCCATAGAAACTACGGTGTAACTCGTGGTGATGAGCGATTGAGCTGGCAGCCTCTAAAAGCAGAAGTCAGTTTATAAATGTAACTATTGAAAAAACATCGTCCTTGGACACATTTATGAACTTAGAAACTAAAACCTGACCTCTGTGTTTTATTTGTGTCCAGATTTTGGCCAATCTGGTGATGGAGACGCTCCAGCCTGAGCTGAGAGATGTGATCGGCCCTCGTCTGAAGGGGAAGATGCAGCAGAGGCAGAGGAACTGGATGTTGGTGAGTTCCGGTCCCTCCAAAAAGAAACAGGAGTCAAAACATCTTCAGATTGTTATTTTCTTCTCCAGATCTCTGGTGCGGTGTACAAGCAGGTGTTGTCTCAGACCAACCGTCAGTATGCGGCTCTGGTGGAAGCCAGCGAGGCTGAGAGGGCTCCACTAGACGCCCGGCTGAGAACTGACATGGACCAACTCATCACCTCTAAAGAACACGTCTGCAGCAAGATCAGAGGTAACAACTAGAGGTGGTTTCAGGTTGTTCTTCAGACCTTTGCTGCTTTCTACTCATGTTTGGTCCTTGCCACCGACCACGATGGCTGTGTGAGTGTGCTGAGGACAGAAGAGGAAATATTGCACCTATAATGTGAAGCAGGTGAACAGAAATGAACCTGATCCAGGTTTTCTTTGGAAATCATAACGTTTCTCTATCTTTAGTACTTTTTAAAAGATTCTGCAAAAGGTCCAACTCAGGGTTGGTTAGTTTGGCTCCTCCCATTTGAATGAGGTCATGACTTAGTTAGGTTGCGTAATTTTCCTGAGCTTCACTTTGTTTTTTTACAGAGAAAACACTAACGCAAACCAAGTTAGAACCTGCTGATTGGTGCTGGGGGCGGAGCTAAATCCAGGAAGAAGGTTTTGTGTTCTGACCCTAAGCAAGCTGAGAACACGCTCTCAGCCCCCCTCCCTGAGCGGTTCATCAACTATTTGATCTCTTCAGTGTTTTAACGAGTCAGACTTGATGAATCGAGTCATCTGTCCAGATATCAGTCGGCTAACGAAACCCTTGCTTTATTTTCAGCTAGCTAGGAGCTAGTCGTTAGCCACTGATATTTGCGTGTCCTCCCAGAATGCAACACAAACCTGGCTGTTGTGTGTCACCAGTACAGGCCTATCGCTGTTTTGTGACTGGATGAGTCAAAAAGAAGAATGTAGAAGCCGACTAAACAAAGATACGTCTAGGGGTGTTTCTCAATGCCAAGGAACCTGCCATGATGTCTTGGCCCCGCCCCGGTTGCCTAGGAGATATGTCATCAGGAGCTGCCAAGACGTGTTCCAATGTTCATGTTCTACTGACGCGTTTGTTCTCCATTTGTTAGCCGTTTAGCTAGCTGAGTGAGGGTACACGGGAGGTGCCTTGTAGCCTAGCCTCGGTCAAAAATTACCCAGAATACACCGCAGTATTTTCAAAAGGACGGCGGATCAGAAGCCGGCAGCTACTTCGGGGACAATTTAAGTTTAAAAGTAAGTCAGCTAATTTAAAATGTTTTTTTTAGATCCAAAGAAGTTATCTATGGTTGGCTAGTAGCTTAGTAGTTGCAGCTTCGGTGGCTAGCGGGTAGTAACTCACTTACATATTTAATTTAATAAACATACACAATTTAAAAAGTAAAAGGCTCATTTTATATTTATATTGAAACTAATACGTATAAAATATAACGTTATCTCCCGTGTCACGTGACGTTACGTGATCACCGTGGGAGCTGCGGTCACGTGACACAAGTCTGTTCCATTTAACCCTTTTCTTGGACTAAGGAAGGACCGTGTCCTCGTAAGCAAGGCGCCTGGCCTCGCTAGACATCGCCTCGCAAGGCCAGGCGCCTTGACATTGAGCAACACCCACAGAATGATCAGTAACTGGACTGAAAAAGGGTGAAAAGGCTGAATAATGGAGATCACTTCAAAGGGTTACAAGGAAATCTGTCAGTTTGGAAGTAAAATTTGATGAAATAATTGACTTTTAATTCTGGGTGAGGCTCCAGGTGACGTCACAATGCAAGAGAATAAAGGGTGTGGCTGAAAGACCTTCACTAAAGATAAGAAGAGTTACCTTCTTAAACTAGATCATGACCTGCAGGTCTCCCTCTCCTCACGCCTGAGAGGCTTTGAAACCAGCGTTCTGTGTAAAATGTCTCCGCTCCATGCGTGCTCTCCGTGTCGTGCAACATGACCTCCTCCACCTGGAGTGTTCTGTGTGCCTCTCTGAGATGGGGCTGAGCTTTCTCTGGTCCCTGATTACTTTCTTCAGACATTTAACTTTAATAAGGTTACATCTGACGTGTCTCACATCCTGAACGTTTATTTCCGTCCTCGCAGCTTTGTGTTTAAATCTCTCTTTGTCTCTTTTCTTTTACAAAGCGAGCTCTGGGCATGCGGCTCAGTTTTGTTTCTATTCGGCTCAAGTGGAGGAACTGCATTCCAATAGTGTTTTGTAGAAGCTCAGAACCACATTTCCTTTTGTAATATGATCATGTTTCTCTCTGGTGTGGGGTTCGGTCAGTCTGGATGTAAATATTCAGAGTTTGTTTATGTTCTCTGCTCAAATGCAGCTCTGGTGTTGCCCAAAGCCGATCAGGTCCTCCGCACCAACGTCCAGCCCTACATCAGCTCCATTCTGGATGCCCTGATGGAGCCCACCAGTCGGGGCTTCTCTGAGGTCAGGGATGTCTTCTTCAAGGAACTGGTGGACATCAGCAAGAATTCCCTCAATAGAGGGAGCAAAGAGGAAGTGGGAGAAGTGAGTCTGCCTGCTGATGTGTTTAAGAAGGTTCATGAAGTGCAGAAGGAATGTGTTGATCTTAAATTAGAGGACAAGGAGTGTCAGGGAGCTGCCCTCTGTGACTAATCACCAAAAATGAGCTTTGTCTTTGTTAATGTCCTGTGTCCCTCAGCAACTGGAGAGGTTGTCCATGCTGGCCTTCCATCCCATGAAGATGCAGAGTTGTTATGAGAAGATGGAGCAGCTAAACCTGGAGGGGCTGCAGCAGCGGTTTGATGTTTCCAGCCCATCCGTGTTCATCAGCAGAGCTCAGATCCTGATGAGGCAGGTGAGGCGTTGGCAGCACAAACCCTCCTGTCTGTGGTGACGTTTCTGCTGCCACCTGCAGGACTAGAAGAGTATTGCTTTAGGGAAAGATGCTTTTATTTCAGTGAGTATTTTGTGTTTACATTGTCAGCAAATGGACAACGCAGTTTACACCTTTGAGCAGCTGCTCCAGCAGTCGCTGAAGGACCAGGGAGAAGAGGACATTTGCAAAACCATCCACAAATGTCAGGACAGAGTTATCAAGGTAAACCAGACACATAAAGAAAAATACTAGATAAATGTTGACTTTATGGTTTTAAAGAACCATATAACCAGCTCAGTGGCCTAGTGGTAGAGTGCTTCCCTGCTTGACACTCTGCATTAAGGGGTTGGATTGGGGGGTTAAGCCACCAAACGGTTCCCGAGCGCGGCTGTGTCTGCAGCTCACCGCTCCCCCATGGGATGGGTCAAAATACTTTGACTTTAATTGTCTTTTCTTCATTTCTACCATCAGAAATATGATTATGACAGCAGCACGGTGCGTAAGAAGTTCTTCAGAGAGGCCTTACTGCAGATAATCATCCCCTACATGCTGCAGCAGCTCGCACCGTCTTGTACACCTGTGAGTTACTAAAATACACAACTAATATGCAAAATGTACTCAATGTGTACTCTAATACTATATGAGGTCCCACAAAACATCATACTATAGTATATGTATTTAATACTATATGAGATAATATTCAATGGTATACTACAATATGTGTATTTTAAAACTATTTCAGGTCATTCTAAACATGATACTATAGTATGTGTATTTTAAAACTTATTTGAGGTCATTCTAAACATTATACTATACGTAGTATGTGTATTTTAATACTATTTCAAGTAATTCTAAACATGATACTATAGTATGTGTATTTTAATGCTATTTCTGGTCATTCTAAACGTTATACTATAGTATGTGTTTTTAACTCTATTTTAGGTCATTCTAAACATTAGACTATATCATGTGTATTTTAATACTATTACAGGTCCTTCTAAACATTATACTATAGCATGTGTATTTTATTACTATTTCAGGTCATTCTAAACAGTATACTATAGTATGTGCATTTGAATGCTATTTCAGGTCATTCTAAACATTATACTATAGTATGTGTATTTTAAAACTATTTCAGGTCATTCTAAACATGATACTATAGTATGTGTATTTTAAAACTATTTCAGGTCATTCTAAACATGATACTATAGTATGTGTATTTTAATACTATTTCAGGTCATTCTAAACATTATACTATAGTATGTGTATTTTAATGCTATTTCAGGTCATTCTAAACATTATACTATAGTATGTGTATTTTAAAACTATTTCAGGTCATTCTAAACATGATACTATAGTATGTGTATTTTAAAACTATTTAAGGTCATTCTAAACATTTTACTATAGCATGTGTATTTTATTACTATTTCAGGTCATTCTAAACAGTATACTAAAGTATGTGTATTTGAATGCTATTTCAGGTCATTCTAAACATTATACTATAGTATGTGTATTTTAATACTATTACAGGTCATTCTAAACATTATACAATAGCATGTGTATTTTATTTCTATTTCAGGTCATTCTAAAAAGTATACTATAGCATGTGTATTTTATTACTATTTCAGGTCATTCTAAACAGTATACTATAGTATGTGAATTTCAATATTATATCAGGTCATTCTAAACAGTATACTATAGCATGTGTATTGTATTACTATTTCAGGTCATTCTAAACACGATACTATAGTATGTGTTTTTAATGCTATTTTAGGTCATTCTAAACATTATACTAAAGTATGTGTATTTTAATACTATTTCAGGTCATTCTAAACAGTATACTATAGAATGTGTATTTTATTACTATTTCAGGTCATTCTAAACATTATACTAAAGTATGTGTATTTTAATACTATTTCAGGTCATTTTAAACAGTATACTATAGCATGTGTATTTTATTACTATTTTAGGTCATTCTGAACAGTATACTATAGCATGTGTATTTTATTACTATTTCAGGTAAGTCTAAACAGTATACTATAGTATGTGAATTTCAATATTATATCAGGTCATTCTAAACATTGTACTATAGTTTGTGTATTTTAATGCTATTTCAGGTCATTCTAAACATTATACTATAGCATGTGTATTTTATTACTATTTCAGGTCATTCTAAACAGTATACTATAGCATGTGTATTTTATTACTATTTCAGGTCATTCTGAACAGTATACTATAGTATGTGAATTTCAATATTATATCAGGTCATTCTAAACATTATACTATAGTATGTGTATTTTAATGCTATTTCAGGTCATTCTAAACAGTATACTATAGCATGTGTATTTTATTACTATTTCAGGTCATTCTAAACATTATACTAAAGTATGTGTATTTTAATGCTATTTCAGGTAATTCTAAACAGTATACTATAGCATGTGTATTTTATTACTATTTTAGGTCATTCTAAACATTATACTATAGCATGTGTATTTTATTACTATGTCAGGTCATTCTAAACATTATACTATAGTATGTGCATTTTAATGCTATTTCAGGTAATTCTAAACATGATACTATAGTATGTGTATTTTAAAACTATTTCAGGTCATTCTAAACATGATACTATAGTATGTGTATTTTAATACTATTTCAGGTCATTCTAAACATTATACTATAGTATGTGTATTTTAATGCTATTTCAGGTCATTCTAAACATTATACTATAGCATGTGTATTTTATTACTATGTCAGGTCATTCTAAACATTATACTAAAGTATGTGTATTTTAATGCTATTTCAGGTAATTCTAAACAGTATACTATAGCATGTGTATTTTATTACTGTTTTAGGTCATTCTAAACAGTATACTATAGCATGTGTATTTTATTACTATTTCAGGTCATTCTAAACATTATACTAAAGTATGTGTATTTTAATGCTATTTCAGGTAATTCTAAACAGTATACTATAGCATGTGTATTTTATTACTATTTTAGGTAATTCTAAACATTATACTATAGTATGTGTATTTTAATACTATTACAGGTCATTCTAAACATTATACTATAGCATGTGTATTTTATTACTATTTCAGGTCATTCTAAACAGTATACTATAGTATGTGAATTTCAATATTATATCAGGTCATTCTAAACATTATACTATAGTATGTGTATTTTAATGCTATTTTAGGTCATTCTAAACATTATACTATAGCATGTGTATTTTATTACTATTTCAGGTCATTCTAAACACGATACTATAGTATGTGTTTTTAATGCTATTTTAGGTCATTCTAAACATTATACTAAAGTATGTGTATTTTAATACTTTTTCATATAACTTGTGTTGCTGTTTTAGTGTGATTGGTTTGTTTTATCAGTTTTTTTGTCTGTGAAGCACCTTGGTGTCAGAACGCTGGAAGGTTTGTGACCCTCACCTCCCTCCATCTCCCCAGGAGCTGCCTCGCTTCAAGGAGATGATCTTTGAGGATTTCTCCCGTTTCCTTCTAGTTGAAAACCTGTATGAGGAGGTGGTCCTGCAATCAGTCACAAAAGACACAATGATGGGTGAGGACTAGATAACTTCATGCCGTTTAAGCTGTGGTGGTACCGTGATTGGGTTTTCTAACATGTTTGCTTCTTGTTGTGTTCAGCTGTGAAGGAAGCGGCTGTCCAGAGGAAACACAATCTCTACAGAGACAGCATGGTTCTGACCAACAGTGACCCCAACCTGCATCTTCTTGAAGACACTCCTCAGGTGGACTGGGCAACAAAGTTTGGAGGTGATGAAGCGGTGGGGTCCATGGGCAGCAGTACCGAAGGAGGAGGTATTGGGAGAAGACGGAGGCAGGTCGTGTCAATGATACAGCTGGAAGGGTTGCCTCTTCCCTATGAGTCCTGCCTGGAGGTCCCGGGGGTTGAGCTCATCCCTGAGGAGGATATTCCTGAATCCAAAGATGAAGAGGCAGAGGAGGAGTTGGGTCCATCCGAGGATCCAAAGTCCCCTGACAGTGTGGATGAAATCAGGGACCTGATCAATCCGATGCTGGAGGTGGAGCTCCCAGAGTCAGAGGAGAAGCAGGCTGATGTAGTCAGTGGGACAGAGATGACCACAGGCACCATCACCATGGAGGACGGGGTGCAGGAGCAGGTCACACATGTCACCACCATTGTCGAGGACAACCCCAGGAGGTCCGTACGAGACAAGTCGTCCCCGCAGACGATCCTACGGGAGCTAATGGGAAGCCAGAAGGAGAGAGTCACTGAAGAGGAAGCTGCAATTCAGAAAGCCATCGAGGAAATGGAGCTGGCGGTGCAGGATGAAGATGGCGAGCAGCCCGCCGAGGCATCGACGGCAGAATCCGATAACGATTCCCAACCACAGGCGACGGACTGTGGATCACGCAACGACAGCGGCTTCCAGTCGCCGACCAATGAGGGGCTAAATGAGAGTGAGTCTGAGCCAATCAAAAACGGCCCTAACGGAGAGGCCAAGATGGCTGACGCTGTGCCAGTGGAACCTATGTTCATGTAGGAAGATGCTTCTCTGACGCCAACAGAAAAACCACAGTAGGAACTTTTGTTTTACTCTAAGAGCGGATCTGTCAGCTCAGCGAGCCGGAGCTCAAATATGACTTTAAATCCTGCTCCGAGTCTAATTTATGGTCATTTGATCATTGTCCTGTCTCCACGTGGACAGCAGAGGGCGCTATAATCAAACTAACCACATCTTTTTCCTGCTTGTGTTTTTGTGCGGAGTTGTTTCTGAAAGCACTTCTCATTTTTGCAAGTGGCCTCCATGTTTCAACACAATCAGTTTAGGATGTTTTAAAAGGGAAATGTTTGATCTGTGGGGAAAGTTACCGGAAACTTTTTTTGAAAGTTTCTTTATTGTTTTTTTAATTCAGTTCATTAGTTTTTATTCTCTGCCCGTCATCTAGAGGTTTTTTTTTATTCAAAATTATTAGGCTTTAATGCTCGTCTTCGTGTCAAACCATTATTCTGGTGTGAAAGTAAAAAGATTCGTTTTTCAGGACAGCTGACAAGATTTATTGTCTATTCACTAAAAATGGGAGAAAAATAAGCAAACTGATTGTAAATAAGTACAAAAAAAATCATTAAATTATTATAAAAGGAACATTTTAAACAAAGTAGTTTGGTACAAAGGTCCAATTATATTTATGTAAAAGTAAAACACGCTGTGATGTGAAGGTTTAACACTAATAATCATACCCTCCATGATTATTTAAAAAACACACAATAACCAGGATTTAAACTCAAGATCACTGTTTTCTTTTATTTATTGTTGTGCAGCAAAACAAACCGTAGACCTTTCCTCCTACAAAAACAACAAACTGTATTTGAGAATGAAATAAAACGATTTCAACAGCTTTTGTTCTTTATTTTGTCACAAAAGCACAGAAATGTTGCGTCACGATCAGATGTTCTTAGTGTTTTTTTAAGCAAACATTTTATTGGCGTCAGCTGATAAAAGCAGGAACACGTCTCCCGATGGAAAAAAGAACGACTCATCAGTTTCAACATCTGACAGGAAATCTGAGTGCAAATTAGCTTTTAGATTTAAGAATTATTCCCACTTTCAGAACAGAAAATGCTCATTTTTAAGCAGCAAAAACACACTTTTGAGCAACATTTGTTGTTAAAACATTACTGAAGGCATGAGTTGTAAAAGTGTAGGAAATGAAGTTTATATAAACTAAACCCTACACACACGCACAGGTTTCTCTCCTACAGCTCATTTTCCACGCGAGCCTTTTTAGCTAAATAAAAACTTCTGCTCATGTCTTCCCGTCACTCTTTGAGCGAGCCGTAGCAGGACATACGTTCTACGAGAGGAAATGAGATAAAATAGCCGAGGGCAGCGCCCACGACGACCCCGATGAAGATCCAAGAGTTGTAGGACATGACGCAGAGCATCAGCATGTAGCCCAGGGTCACCTGCAGCATGTGGAGGACCGTCTGGAGGACATGCAGCGTCCATCTGAGGAGGAGGAGACCAGTGAATTAAAACAAGCCTGCTCAGCTACTGATGGCTTAAAGGTTGACTGAGACGGTTTCTAATGGGTCACTCTGAGTTTTTCATGCAGAGTGAACATGAAAATAGTCTCCTACACCTATCTCCTGCAGAAGCTTCTGACAGAAGACAGACGGTGAAACTCTAGGATTAGAAAAGCCTGACAGATCTACGTCACACTGTCACTTACATTCATGGACTCATGACGGGGAAGGCTGTTGTCCTTTTAACATCTGGTTATCAGCAGCGGTTGTCTTGGCTACTTTAAGCTAACCTTTAGCATTAGCAGCTTCACCTCATGGCAGAACTCCCCCAGGCTCGTCTTATTTGTAGAGATAAAACATCCACGTTACAGTTTAGTGGTAGAGTCGTGAGGCTGTTATCCAATCCGAGGTGAGATGACCAAATATCAAGAAATAAGACTCCAGATCCTGTATCTGAGGCTGCTGTGATGGTGCAGACTCGGCCTGCTGAGCAGTGTTGGTTTTGGCGGGCATCTCAGTTTTAGTCGACAAAGACTTTTGTTTTGAATTTTACAAAACATTAAACAGTTTTATTCTCTAACAAATGCATTTATAGGCCAGACGTGTACTCTGAGCTGCTGGAGTGAGTTTCATACCAACATCATTTATTTTATGGCTATGGGGCAAAATCTCAGCTGGCCCAGATTTAGTAAAACAATACCCCTCAGACTGGTATCATATTTTTACTTAGATCATAACAATATCGTGTATGTTATCTACTGCGCATCATGCTGTAGATTTTCACAAAATAAATATATGATTTTATTTCCTTACCAGAATGGACTCTTAGAGAGCATAAAGAGTATTCTACACAATATTTAAGTAGAAATAAAGAAATGTGTTTCATTTCTTATGAGTTATCAGATCTCCATCTTAGGAAATTTAAATGTATATTGTGGAAAAGTCCACCTACTTAAATGCAGTAATGTTTTTCCACAGATTGCAGCGTTTTCACAGAATTAATATAAATAACCAGTCCTGCTCATGAACATCTAGATGGGCTTAAATGGTGATGTTGTTGGGTTAAAATGCATAGTTTTTGTCTAGTCTAGTCTAGTCTCGTTAACGAAAACTCCCGTTCACCTCGTCATGTTTTAGTCACCAAAGAGCTATTTTTAGCTCGTCAGCTCTTGTATTACTTATGAAAAAAAGGGGCGTCAATTAAATCAAGTCGTCAGCGTTTTCGCTAACGAAAGCAACACTGCTGCTGAGACAGGTTTGTGGGCTTTGTTAGGCCCCGAGTTCTGCCTGCAAGGCATTCATTCCTTCTAGAGACCACTGCTAATGCATTGACTAAATGAGTGAACCACACTTTTAAAGGTGCTGAGGAAATGTTTCTTCATAATCGTGATTTCTACCGACCTTTAATAAAATGTGGTCTGGGTCAAAGCTACTTCAGGGTTTATGAAGATCTTTTAGAGTTTGGCTGCTTCTTCACTCATTTTCGGTCCTCATACCTTTAACATTAGCTAGACACATGACCTGAGAGGGGCATCGGCCTCCAGCTGCTGCTAATCTTATCTTTTTTTTTAGTTATTTAACTGAGTTTTTGTTACAGGCTGCAGGAACCAAAGTTAAAATGCAGCCGATGTCCCCAAAAACCCTAAAACCCTCAATCTGATTTTAAACAAGACAAATTCATTATTTGCAACAAATTTCCTTTTCAGAATAAATGTCACAATGATGGTTTTAATAAATGAAATCCTAATATTCTGACTTGTTTGTGGTCCGAAGCCGGGACTCGATGGGGGTCAGTGAGCTCTCAGAGGGGCTGGTTTCTAACCCAGAGGAGCGCTCACTGAGACTGGAGGCGACGGCGTCGGCAGGCTGATGGAGCGGAACGCCGCTCCTCAGCCACAGCCTCCAGGCTTTAAGCAGTTCAAAGAGGATGGTCAGCAGCAGCATGACGAACACCGACAGCACCATGCCTGGAACAAACATTTGCTAAAGTAACTCACAGAATCCACTATTAAGGGTTAAAATATCAAAGACAACAACAAACTTCCTTCTTCCATCTTTAATTTCTTTATGTTAAAATGCTTTATGTTACTGAGCGACAACACACTGACTACTTCTGCTTCCTCTCCTTTGTGATAAAGTAGATTTAAGACATAATGTTCAGTTAAAAAGTAGCTCAGCTCACAAATTTCACACCCAACACTTTTGGTTCTTTTCTTCCAAAGGAATAAAACCTTCTCGTAATATGTTGAAGTGAAAGATTTCAAAAAGTAAAGTCCCCCCAAAAAACCTTCAGAGTCTCTGAAAAAATATTATAACAGGTCATTCTAAACATTATACTAAAGTATGTGTATTTTAATACTATTTCAGGTCATTCTAAACAGTATACTATAGCATGTGTATTTTATTACTATTTCAGGTCATTCTAAACATTATACTAAAGTATGTTTATTTTAATGCTATTTCAGGTAATTCTAAACAGTATACTATAGCATGTGTATTTTATTACTATTTCAGGTCATTCTAAACAGTATACTATACCATGTGTATTTTAATACTATTTCAGGTCATTCTAAACAGTATACTATAGTATGTGAATTTCAATATTATATCAGGTCATTCTAAACAGTATACTATAGTATGTGTATTTTAAGGCTATTTTAGGTCATTCTAAACATTATACTATAGTATGTGTATTTTAATGCTATTTCAGGTCATTCTAAACACGATACTATAGTATTTGTTTTTAATGCTATTTTAGGTCATTCTAAACATTATACTAAAGTATATGTATTTTAATAGTATTTCAGGTCATTATAAACATTATACTAAAGTATGTGTATTTTAATGCTATTTCAGGTCATTCTAAACAGTATACTATAAAATGTGTATTTTATTACTATTTTAGGTCATTCTAAACATTATACTATAGCATGTGTATTTTATTACTATTTTGGGTCATTCTAAACATAATACTATAGCATGTGTACTTTATTACTATTTCAGGTCATTCTAAAAAGTATACTATAGCATGTGTATTTTATTACTATTTCAGGTCATTCTAAACATTATACTATGGTATGTGAATTTCAATATTATATCAGGTCATTCTAAACATTATACTATAGTATGTGTATTTTAATGCTATGTCAGGTCATTCTAAACAGTATACTATAGCATGTGTATTTTAATGCTATTTCAGGTAATTCTAAACAGTATACTATAGCATGTGTATTTTATTACTATTTTAGTTCATTCTAAACATTATACTAAAGTATGTGTATTTTATTGCTATTTCAGGTAATTCTAAAGCGTATTCTATAGCATGTGTATTTTATTACTATTTTAGGTCATTCTAAACATTATACTATTGCATGTATATTTTAGGTCATTCTAAACAGTATACTAAAGTATGTGTATTTTAATGCTATTTCAGGTAATTCTAAATAGTATACTATAGCATGTATATTTTATTACTATTTCAGGTCATTCTAAACAGTATACTATAGCATGTGTATTTTATTACTATTTCAGGTCAGTCTAAACAGTATACTATAGTATGTGTATTTCAATACTATTTAAGGTCATTCTAAACATTATATTATAGCATGTGCATTTTATTACTATTTCAGGTCATTCTAAACAGTATACTATAGCATGTGTATTTTAAAACTATTTCAGGTCATTCTAAACAGTATACTATAGCATGTGTATTTTATTACTATTTCAGGTCAGTCTAAACAGTATACTATAGTATGTGAATTTCAATATCATATCAGGTCATTCTAAACATTATACTATAGTATGTGTATTTTAATGCTATTTTAGGTCATTCTAAACAGTATACTATAGCATGTGTATTTTATTACTATTTCAGGTCATTCTAAACAGTATACTATAGCATGTGTATTTTATTACTATTTCAGGTCATTCTAAACAGTATACTATAGTATATGAATTTCAATATTATATCAGGTCATTCTAAACATTATACTATAGTATGTGTATTTTAATGCTATTTCAGGTCATTCTAACCAGTATACTATAGCATGCGTATTTTATTACTATTTCAGGTCATTCTAAACATTATACTAAAGTATGTGTATTTTAATGCTATTCAAGGTAATTCTAAACACTATACTATAGCATGTGTATTTCATTACTATTTTAGGTCATTCTAAACATCATACTATAGCATGTATATTTTATTACTATTTCAGGTCATTCTAAACATTATACTAAAGTATGTGTATTTTAATGCTATTTCAGGTCATTCTAAACAGTATACTATAGTATGTGAATTTCAATATTATATCAGGCCATTCTAAACATTATACAATAGTATGTGTATTTTAATGCTATTTTAGGTCATTCTAAACATTATATTATAGCATGTGTATTTTATTACTATTTCAGGTCATTCTAAACACGATACTATAGTATGTGTTTTTAATGCTATTTCAGGTCATTCTAAACAGTATACTATAGCATGTGTATTTTATTACTATTTCAGGTCATTCTAAACATTATACTAAAGTATGTGTATTTTAATACTATTTCAGGTCATTCTAAACAGTATACTATAGCATGTGTATTTTATTACTATTTTAGGTCATTCTAAACAGTATACTATAGCATGTGTATTTTATTACTATTTCAGGTCATTCTAAACATTATACTAAAGTATGTGTATTTTAATACTATTTCAGGTCATTCTAAACAGTATACTATAGCATTTGTATTTTATTACTATTTTAGGTCATTCTAAAACATTATACTATAGCATGTGTATTTTATTACTATTTCAGGTCATTCCAAACATTATACTAAAGTATGTTTATTTTTATGCTATTTCAGGTAATTCTAAACAGTATACTATAGCATGTGTATTTTATTACTATTTCAGGTCATTCTAAACATTATACTAAAGTATGTGTATTTTAATACTATTTCAGGTCATTCTAAACAGTATACTATAGCATGTGTATTTTATTACTATTTTAGGTCATTCTAAACAGTATACTATAGCATGTGTATTTTATTACTATTTCAGGTCATTCTAAAGATTATACTAAAGTATGTGTATTTTAATACTATTTCAGGTCATTCTAAACAGTATACTATAGCATTTGTATTTTATTACTATTTTAGGTCATTCTAAAACATTATACTATAGCATGTGTATTTTATTACTATTTCAGGTCATTCCAAACATTATACTAAAGTATGTTTATTTTTATGCTATTTCAGGTCATTCTAAACAGTATACTATAGTATGTGAATTTCAATATTATATCAGGTCATTCTAAACACGATACTTTAGTATGTGTTTTAATGCTATTTTAGGTCATTCTAAACATTATACTAAAGTATGTGTATTTTAATACTATTTCAGGTCATTCTAAACAGTATACTATAGCATGTGTATTTTATTACTATTTCAGGTCATTCTAAACATTATACTAAAGTATGTTTATTTTAATGCTATTTCAGGTAATTCTAAACAGTATACTATAGCATGTGTATTTTATTACTATTTCAGGTCATTCTAAACAGTATACTATAGTATGTGAATTTCAATATTATATCAGGTCATTCTAAACACGATACTTTAGTATGTGTTTTAATGCTATTTTAGGTCATTCTAAACATTATACTAAAGTATGTGTATTTTAATGCTATTTCAGGCCATTCTAAACAGTATACTATAGCATGTGTATTTTATTACTATTTCAGGTCATTCTAAACAGTATACTATACCATGTGTATTTTAATACTATTTCAGGTCATTCTAAACAGTATACTATAGTATGTGAATTTCAATATTATATCAGGTCATTCTAAACAGTATACTATAGTATGTGTATTTTAAGGCTATTTTAGGTCATTCTAAACATTATACTATAGTATGTGTATTTTAATGCTATTTCAGGTCATTCTAAACACGATACTATAGTATTTGTTTTTAATGCTATTTTAGGTCATTCTAAACATTATACTAAAGTATATGTATTTTAATAGTATTTCAGGTCATTATAAACATTATACTAAAGTATGTGTATTTTAATGCTATTTCAGGTCATTCTAAACAGTATACTATAAAATGTGTATTTTATTACTATTTTAGGTCATTCTAAACATTATACTATAGCATGTGTATTTTATTACTATTTTGGGTCATTCTAAACATAATACTATAGCATGTGTACTTTATTACTATTTCAGGTCATTCTAAAAAGTATACTATAGCATGTGTATTTTATTACTATTTCAGGTCATTCTAAACATTATACTATGGTATGTGAATTTCAATATTATATCAGGTCATTCTAAACATTATACTATAGTATGTGTATTTTAATGCTATGTCAGGTCATTCTAAACAGTATACTATAGCATGTGTATTTTAATGCTATTTCAGGTAATTCTAAACAGTATACTATAGCATGTGTATTTTATTACTATTTTAGTTCATTCTAAACATTATACTAAAGTATGTGTATTTTATTGCTATTTCAGGTAATTCTAAAGCGTATTCTATAGCATGTGTATTTTATTACTATTTTAGGTCATTCTAAACATTATACTATAGCATGTATATTTTAGGTCATTCTAAACAGTATACTAAAGTATGTGTATTTTAATGCTATTTCAGGTAATTCTAAACAGTATACTATAGCATGTATATTTTATTACTATTTTAGGTAATTCTAAACATTATACTATAGTATGTGTATTTTAATACTATTACAGGCAATTCTAAACATTATACTATAGCATGTGTATTTTATTACTATTTCAGGTCATTCTAAACAGTATACTATAGCATGTGTATTTTATTACTATTTCAGGTCAGTCTAAACAGTATACTATAGTATGTGTATTTCAATACTATTTAAGGTCATTCTAAACATTATATTATAGCATGTGCATTTTATTACTATTTCAGGTCATTCTAAACAGTATA